CACACACACACACACACACACACACACACACACACACACACACACACGCACGCACGCACGCACGCACGAAAGCACGCACGCACGCACGCACGCACGCACGCACACATATAAATATGCAAAACACTAGTAGGGAGGCGTGAAAATTGTCTTTAGTAAAGCCGGAGCAAAACAAAGAACACTTGCCCTAAAAAATTTATTAGCACACAAGATACTAGTCACTTTATTTCACTGGTTAATACTACACTACTACACTTTACTACACGTAAAATTAAGCATAAAATGTTGTAAATTACTTTAAATATTTATGATATTTGATGATACGTGGAAAATTTTAGGCAAGGCGGTGGGAATCGAGTTGTATGGACGCCTCGCCGCTGCTAAACACACTAAGCACTGTGTTGAGCATATTGTTTAAATGTAGGTAGATAAATAAATATGCTAAACATAGTGTTTAGCCTATCTATGTATCTACATAAACGCATAGGCTCATAGGAAACAAGTTAAAGTTTTGATCGATGGGGCCGCTGCAGGGAGAACGTTTCATCTTATCAAAAAATGAAACAACATAATTCAATGTCTTATTATTAGATTTATTATCACACTTACGAAAGATATACAACATATCACGATGGCACTAGCTATCAGTGCTGCAGCAGAAAGTAAATCGATGATTTTGACCGAACTATGCGACTTCTTAGGCTTCTATATAATTAATCACTTATCAGAATAAATAGGGCGAGAAAGTAATGAGTATAATTTGAATGGTATCTGTGTCTAAACAATTTTAATACAAGACTGTCACTTTGCGAGTATATGATAACGTACTCTCTTGCTGTAAAGTTTTAATTAGGTAGGGTTATCATCAACTAGTGTATTATTTTATTACACATTAGTGTTGAAGTATACACCACATTCTGCAATCTTTGATTTTTAAAGAATAATATGGGTAAAGTGCAGTGGATTCGACAAAGATGTTTTGCAACATTTCGAATTTCCGGACACATGTCCATCTTTACTATAAACTAATATTTACATAACAAAAGAAAACACGTGAATAATCCAAGAGAAACCTCAACTTCCGAAAGGACTAAGTAGTTAATTATGATAAAATTTGCGTAATGAAAATAAGAAACTTATATGGTAGTCTAATTAAATCGTAACATGCAATCTCAGAAAGTAGGCGATGTTTATAAACTACGAGATACTACGATATAGGCAGGTTCGGAAATAAATTGACTAAAATCAGTGACGTTAAGCGATCGTTACCGAAACAACAAAACAACAGGACGAACAGATACTGTGTACATAATTGTTGAGCGTTTATTTAATTGACTCTGAGCATACAGATTTAGATTTCGGTTTCTGTAAAAAATGCAACGTTTGCCAGTTTATATTGTTCGCTCAAATGATCAGTTCGGCGCCGATCGATTGGGTCATCACTCGTTGGACCGTGCAGTGGGGAGATTCATGTACCCGAGAACTATTTAGGGAAGAGCGCTCCCCGGACAGGGCGTGCGGGGCGGCCGGCGGCAGCCGCACGGCGGCGTGCGAACAGGGCGTCGAGACCACGCAGCGGCGCCGGTGCCGCCGTCGTCTCAACTGACAAGTCGTCAGTCTCGGCCTCACTCTTATCGGCATCGGTGCTCACCTCGGTTGTCTCTGATGACGACTTTTTCGCTGCCTCTGTTGTTGTCTGCTACATTTGCAACACAATGTTACGTAATTAAAAAAACGCAGTTCCACATTAATCATTTACATAATTGATGCAAAACTAAGGCAAAGAAGCCACCTCCATTAAAAGTAAATTTGTGATCTAGACATTATAATATATGTATTAATATTGTGTGTAATATATTTTTTCATTATTTGTCTGTAATGGTTGTGTTTGCAAAAATTGTGAGTTTGAACTTACTTCGGTGGTGGCTAGCTTCCTCTTGAGCAGTGGGTTGTGCCTGCGCGGCGGCGGCGTGACGGGTGCACGCGGCTTGGGCGACGGAGGCGCTGCCAGTCTTGTGCGCAGCTTCAGTCCCCCTCGCGGCGGTTCCGCAGCCGGCGCTGCTGTTGGCAATGAACCCTGCACCCATACGTATTATTAAAGAATGTACCTAATCCAGCATCCAATACTTTATTTAAAAAATAAGGATTAAAAGCATATCGATAATTTACCTCTGAGTCAGCGTCTGTGGCGGGGTTGTCAGAGACTGTGGTGTCTGTAGGGGCTTCCGAGGCGCCAGGAGCAGCTGCATCGGGCGCGACGCTAGCGAGGCCGGGCCGCAGGCGCGGGTTGGCGCGCAAGTTGAGCCGTGGCCCCGGCCGCAGCGACGCGGGCGCCGGTCGCACGCCAGGACGGCCGCGACTTTGTTTACACGTAAGTTAATGAGGTATTGTGATAGCGGCGTGTTAAAAAAGTTAAATCGATTAACTGTTACATGATATGTCTATCACGAAACGTAATTAACCACATAATTAAATTATCCCTACGTGGTCTATAATTTGTTGCTGTGTTAGTTCGTTTAAACTCACTGAAAATAAAAACATTACTAACCCGATAGACCTGCTGGGAGTTAGCGTGGTCTCTGCGGGCTCGGCAGCTGAGCTGGCTGCTGTACTGTCCTCGGCGGGTGCGGGTGCCGCTGTAGTGCTTGTCGTGCGCCTGAGACCGGGCCGGAGGCGAGGTCTGCAATTTTACGTTTTTCATGGAAGCCAATTTATAGAGTCATGTTACCAGTAGTTACGCAAGAAAATCTGTGTCCAACAGATTATAGGTACTCTGCATTGCAGACAGTACCGAAAAAGAAAGACTTCTATAAATCTATAGTATTATAGACGTGCTATATATTCAGAGTGGTCAAACTTTGACTACATACAACTTCCTAAAATACGTTGTGGAATTAGTCGTACCTAGGAGCTGGAGTTTCGCCGGCAGGAGCGCTGCTCGCATCCTGAGCAGGGGCCGGGGTGGTAGAGCTGGGGCGTGTCCGACCGGCGAACAGGCCTCGACGACCAAACGCTTGCTGCAACAAAGGAAACACTCTTATTACTATGCACAGTGCTACGTATCAGCAGCCATTTTCCTTTTTTTTTTTTTTTTTTTTTTTTTTCATACTTGACAGGCAAATGACTCCACTCC